TTCCTGGGAGGTTCTGAAATGTTGGGAATTGCCATGGGATGAAGGTTCCTTGGAGGTTCTGAAATGTTGGGAATTGCCATGGGATGAACGTTCCTCTGAGGTTCTGATCCGCTGGGAATTTCCATGGGATGAACGTTCCTTGAAGGTTCTGATCCACTGGGAGTTGCCATGGGATGAAGGTTCCTCGGAGGTTCTGAAATGTTGGGAATTGCCATGGGATGAAGATTCCTCTGAGGTTCTGATCCGCTGGGAGTTGCCATGGGATGAACGTTCCTGGGAGGTTCTGAAATATTGGGAATTGCCATGGGATGAACATTCCTGGGAGGTTCTGATCCACTGGGAGTTGCCATGGGATGAATGTTCCTTGGAGGTTCTGATCCACTGGGAGTTGCCATGGGATGAATGTTCCTTGGAGGTTCTGATCCACTGGGAATTGCCATGGGATGAACATTCCTGGGAGGTTCTGATCCACTGGGAATTGCCATGGGATGAGGATTCCTCGGAGGTTCTGATCCACTGGGAATTGCCATGGGATGAATGTTCCTTGGAGGTTCTGAAATATTGGGAATTGCCATGGGATGAACGTTCCTGGGAGGTTCTGAAATGTTGGGAGTTGCCATGGGATGAAGGTTCCTCGGAGGTTCTGAAATGTTGGGAGTTGCCATGGGATGAAGGTTCCTGGGAGGTTCTGAAATGTTGGGAATTGCCATGGGATGAATGCTCCTTGAAGGTTCTGATCCACTGGGAGTTGCCATGGGATGAAGGTTCCTCGGAGGTTCTGATCCACTGGGAATTGCCATGGGATGAAGGTTCCTTGGAGGTTCTGATCCACTGGGAGTTGCCATGGGATGAAGGTTCCTTGGAGGTTCTGAAATGTTGGGAATTGCCATGGGATGAACGTTCCTTGGAGGTTCTTCTCCAGAGGTTTGGGATGAGGCTTCGTTCAGGACCTCCAAGAGCTGCTCCTCCCTCTCTGGTGGGGAACAAAGGGAAAAATCCATTCAGAAAGGGAAAAAGACAATTAAAAAGGGAAAAAATCAATTTCAAAAGGGAAAAAAGTCAATTAAAAAGGGAAAAATCCATCCAGAAATTGAAAAAATCCATTTCCAAAGGGAAAAAAAATCAATTAAAAAGGGAAAAATCCATTTTAAAAGGGAAAAAATCAATTAAAAAGGGAAAAAAACATTCAGAAATTGAAAAAAATCTATTTCAAAGGGAAAAAATCAATTAAAAACTGA